CCATTTCCTCAACACAGGAGTCACATGATTTCATCGTCTACCCGTCCTCATTATAGGCAGAGGTTGTTTTGATAAGGACCTGCCTCGCATGGGCCAGTAGGCCTTCTACAGTGTTCCTCCATTCTTATGTTCTTATGACATTCCTCAGGTCACGTGCGTCACATCTCACTCTCCGCCTATATACATAATGTCTTTCTACCTCTGTATGTTAGAAGTGATCAAGGTCCCAGGACCGAAACGTTTTCTAATAAATATGTTATAGTGTTTGCTTACGTGTCTTTCTAAACCAACTTGTCGGTATTTATTACCAAGGTTTATACCACAAGCTATTATGTCGCATCCTACCTCTAATCATTTATAGAATGACAGTTATCCTGTCTTAGTTAATTTGTAAATTAGTTGGTATCGTACTTCGGCTTATTTCAAAGCACAGGAATATGTAAGGGCCTCCACCCCCAGGACTCCACTCACAACAGACGTCTAACACCCAGATACCTATTTATCGCTAGATAAATAGGTAAATAAATAGATAAATACATCCTTGGTTAGGCCTCATTTAGATTATGCTGCACAGTTTTGGTCACCGTATTGAAGAATGGATATAAATGCTCTGGAAAATGTACAGAGGAGGATGACAAAGTTGATCCCATGTATCAGAAACCTTCCTATGAGGATAGACTAAGGGCCCTGAATCTGCACTCTCTAGAAAGACGTAGAATTAGGGGGGATATGATTGAGGTGTATAAATGGAAGACAGGAATAAATAAAGGGGATGTAATAGTGTGCTGAAAATATCTAGCCTAGACAGGACTCGCAGCAATGGTTTTAAGTTAGAAAAATTCAGATTCAGGAAGGATATAGGAAAGTTGAAGATTGAGACACTTATGCAGCATATGGGAATCTTTATTCAGAATAAAGATTCCCATATGCTGCATAAGTGTCTCAATTCCTGAATAAAGATTCCCATATGCTGCATAAGTGTCTCAATTCCTGAATAAAGATTCCCATATGCTGCATAAGTGTCTCAATCTTCAACTTGTCGGTTTTTCAAACCATTCATCACGATATAGGAAAGTACTGAAGTGCATAAGTGGAAGATAAGTATTAATGAAGGGGATATTAATAAGGGGTAAGACACAAAGGCAACAGTTAGGCAACTGTTGCCTTTGTGTCTTACCTACCAACCTGTCGGTATTTTATACCATTTTGATGTTCATATTAATAAGGTCTTGAGGATATCTCTCCAAGAGAGACCCCGCAGTAATGGATTTAAATTAGATAAGTTTAGATTTAGAAAGGACACAAGAAAGTATTGGTTTGGAAATAGGGTAGTTGATGAGTGGAACAGTCTACCTAGTTGGGTTATTGAGGCTAGGACTTTGGGTAGTTTCAAATTTAGGTTGGATAAGTACATGAGTGGGAGGGGTGGAATTTGAGTGGGACTTGCACATCAGAGCTTATTTCTTGGGTAGCATTGAAAATTGGGTTGGTCAAATGTTTTGTTAGTGGGATGAATTGTAAAGGACCTGTGGAAAAAGACACTTATGTACAGTTCAGGACATTTATTAAAGGAAACGTTTCGCCACGAGTGGCTTCTTCAGTCCTAATACAGAGAAAACTGAGAAAACACACATATATATAGTGGTGGGAGTCAGGTGAGGTGAAGCGTGGGTAGAGGTGGTAGTAGTAGTAGTAGTAGTAATGGAACTAAGGAGGTGAGGTTAGAGAGGGACCTGCTGGCATCAAGTAACACCAGTTCCCAGGATGGGTAATATCCTCTTGCTTAGTAATTTTGAAATACTGTAACTACCGGATTTCTGCTTTATAGTGTTACTGACAGAAATTAGTGCAGCTTCAATGCATTTTCTCCGTCTTAAGTCGTCTTCTTTAATAACTAGTTTAGCTTCATTGAATTTCATGAGGTGTCCAACATCGTCTCTATGTTGAACACATGCGTTTTTGCGGTCATCATTTCTGCAAGCATTTTGTGTTTCTGCTATCCTAATGTCCAGAGTTCTGGCTGTTTTCCCCTACATATACTATGTCACACCCCCCACATGGTATAGTGTAGATTCCTGCACTTGTGCCAGAATCATGCTTGGGTTTTTGTATCAGGTTCCTAATAGTAGTTGAAGAGCTGGTAGATATTTTAGCCAGTTTTCTGTCAAACATTTTTGAAACATTAGTGGCAACGTTGCTGACCGGTAAAACGATGTAACTTGGAGGCTTTTCTTCAATTTGATAGGTGTTAGTCTTGCTGAGGATACGTGTTGCACGTTTCCTGCAGTCACGTATGAAGTGTAGGGGAAAGTGTAGTGAACTAAAAGAGTTGGTGATGTATGTACATTCTTCTTCGAGGAACTGCGGACTGGAAATTCTGTAGGCTCTCAGAAAGAAGCCAATAACTACCCCACGCTTCACCTCACCTGACTCCCACCACTATATATATGTGTGTTTTCTCAGTTTTCTCTGTATTAGGACTGAAGAAGCCACTCGTGGCGAAACGTTTCCTTTAATAAATGTCCTGAACTGTACATAAGTGTCTTTTTCCACATCTTGTCGGTATCACCATACCATTTCCTCATTGTAAAGGACCTGCCTAGTATGGGCCAACAGGCCTGCTGCAGTGTTCCTCCTTTCTTATGTTCTTATGGTAATAGAGTTGTGGATGAGTGGAACAAACTCCCAAGTACAGTCATAGAGGCCAGAACGTTGTGTAGCTTTAAAAATAGGTTGGATAAATACATGAGTGGGTGTGGGTGGGTGTGAGTTGGACCTTATTAGCTTGTGCTACCAGGACGGTTGCCGTGTTCCTCCCTTAAGTCAAGGTGACCTGACCTGACTAGGTTGGGTGCATTGGCTTAAGCCGGTAGGAGACTTGGACCTGCCTCGCATGGGCCAGTAGGCCTGCTGCAGTGTTCCTTCGTTCTTATGTTCTTATGTTCTTAAGTGTATAAGGAGAGACTTTAACACCCCCACCCGCTAAGGTTTCCAGCCCTGTACTTCGACTGTGAGCCGAAAGCTACGTACGAGTCATGCTTGCGTTGAACTTTGTAAGATAATGTGCTCACAGGATCAAGTACTTGAAGTATTTGATAAACGAACACATGTTATAGTTTAAAGATAACCTATGATATCTCTCAGCGTATATAAATCGAGAGGGATATATCTCAATGTATTTACATCAAAATGTATACCTCTTTCAGTGTATAAACATCGAGGAGAATAACTTTAAATGTACATACATAAAGATGTATATCTTAGTGTGTATACATCAAGAGGTATTTTTCCCTGTGAATATATGCCAAAATGAAAGAATATACACCGAGAAACATATAACTCTGCGAATATGAATCGAAATGTATTTAATTATCGGTTTATATATATATATATATATATATATATATATATATATATATATATAATATATATATATATATATATAATTATACAGTGTACGTAAAACAAGTTTACTTTATTCTTTGCTGATGGTGTACAGGAGAAATGCAAGTTTAATGGCACTCGTTCAGTCGATCGACTTTTAAACCTGACCAAACTGTCTCTCCTCTATTCTATCGAGGCCTCTAAGTATTTTGTACGCCGTGTTCCTGTCCCCCCTCTGGTTCTCTACTCTTCCAGTATCTTGAGGTTCAGTTTCTTTAGTCCTTTTTTCGTACCTCCTGAACTAATCTTTCAGCCAATTTTTTTTAACGATCATTGGTTACTAGACATTTTTTGTACTGAATCTTCAGTGACAGGTGTGTTGTAAATCTTTTACAGGATTCTGACGGACACTTTTGAGGTCGTGGTGCTGGTATTTAATTTGTCAGGAAATAATTGCCTCCTGACGTGGGTCTTAGTTAAATGATCCGCTGCTGGAGTTTTCTGGTACTTTTAAAATCGTACATAATGCCGAAGTTACTGATGTACTTTGGTGGTGATATGCTTGGTGTTATGCTTACCTCCTTGGTGCTTTTCATTTTCTGAGGTTGGTTGCTCCTGTCCCTCTACTGTGTTCCGTATGTATTATTCTCTAGTATGTGTGGGCCAAGAGGGTTGCTGCAACATGACTCGCGAAATCGTAATGACGATTGCAAACAAACTATACCACTGTGTTCTTTTACCTAACAATACATAAGAATGTACATAAAGCCTGTACAAGCTTGACTGTGGAGCATCACTGTAGCGGCTGAAGAAACATCCACTGGATAAACATCTTAAACTTGCTCTCTGCGATCGTATCCCTTTCAAGTTGCTTTTTCCTCTCTTCATTTAGCGATAAGACATCCATCTTTATCATCAACAACCAGTCATTTGCTAACATGCACACTATTTCCACGCACATTCATACATTCTATTTTCAATATTTCATTCTTATGGTATTTCATAATTACATCCAGAAGGAGGAACCAGTCTCTGCTTGATTCACCACTGACTCCCTACGTAATTAGTTCTTACTAGACTCTTCACGACAGGGTCCTGGAACGGGTCTTCAGTAGACAGGTGACCCGTCTCAGGCTCCTGAAGGAGTGTTGACGCAGGGTAAACCGAGTCTTACTTACAGTTTAAGTGTCCTGACGGAGGCAATTCTCTGGAAGCCTCAGCGTTATTTAATTCACGGCCGTAGCTCTGTGGTAGAATGTTCGGCTACAACTCAAAGGGCCTGGTTTCGAATTCTGGGCGGGTAGAGGCGTCTGGGCAACTGCTGTTCTCGTTCATTTTGCGGAAGATTAAGTAACACTTAGATAAGTGTTAGCCGATTATTGTAGGTTGCATGATAGGCAGATGTATAGGAAAATCTCCTGACATCTGTTGCCTATATTCACCTAGTGCTAAAATAGATATCTAGGTGCTTTTGACTGGTCAGTGAATTCAGTCTTGGGGAGCGATTGTTCACTGGAACATCACGATGCTTGTTTACTGGATAATTCCAGGTTAAAAATATTAAAAACTATTTGAACAGCTATTTGGTGTACTGTTATATCTAAATTTTCTTTCAGATGTGCAAGAGAGGAAGGTGCGCAAGGGAAAGAGACACTATGGAACGCAGAATAAAAATAAAAAATGCAACAAAGATACGTAGAAAACCCAAGGGAAAGAAACAAAAAACATATGCTGGAAAACAATCCAAGATGACAAAGGCCATGAAACATGTGAAAAAAACTCACTCCAAACGGAAAAATAACGTAGCACGACAGCTGGACACGCGCAAGAGAAACGGGAAACTGAAGAACAGAAGGAAAAGTGTAGCAATGAAAGGGAAGAGAAACAAAGGAGTGAACAATTCACTGGTTGTCAAACAAGAAGAAACATTTATTCAAAAAAAGAAGAAAGTAAGCTGGAAGAAACCCAAGAAGTTCCGGCGTATAGAGACACCGACACACATTGTAATAAAGGAGAGAATGAAATACGTTGCGGGGAAAGGATGGAAGGTAAAGATAATAAGAATCAGGAAGACTCGAAGAATGATAGAGGAATCGAAGAATAGGAAAATGCTTGCGAAATTAGCGTGCGTCAAGAAGTCCAACTGCAAGAAGCCTCGCACCAGAAGCAAAACGAAGAAATTCAAGAAGAAATGGGCTACGAATGCGGAAATGAAGAGTGTAGCCGCTAAAAAGAGACTGAGAGCCACTAAGAACAATAGACCTACAATGTCAGTGATATTAGAGAGCTGTCGGCCACAGAAAATCAAACACGTACCAGGGAAGGGTTGGTGGGTTAAAATACGCACTGGTTGTATAAGAGCGACTCTCAATAAAACTCTCGCTTGATAAATATCTCCACTTTTTTTTTATAGAAAATTCTTTCAAAAAAAAAGCCTTTCCTTGAGGGGTGTCTAAAAGACTTATTTGAAAACGAGCCCCAAGACTCTTTCAATAAAATTATCTCAAAGACTCTTGAAAGATTTTGATATTTACAGATAATGAGTCGATAATGTGATATCTTTAGTGATCGCCTCCTTACAATAGAATTGCTAAGACACAATTTTTGGTATGCCAATATTTGGCTATAATTGTTAGTTATTTTAGACAAGGCTGCATGCAATGATATTGACGTTGCATGCATTGTTTACCTTCTGGCCAAAGTTGGCAATAAGAAGCAGATTGCTCAGGGAGAAGATTGTATGTATTGTCTGTGTGTGTATTATATATATATATATATATATATATATATATATATATATATATATATATATATATATATATATATATATATATATATATATATATGTCGTGCCGAATATGTAAAACTGGTCAATTAGCAAGAACTCATTTAAAATTAAGTCCTTTTTAAAATTTTCTCTTATACGTTTAAAGATATATTTTTTTCATTAATGTTAATGTAAAAATTTATAATTTTGCTCCAAAAGAATCTTAGAAAACTTACCTAACCTTATTATAACAAGAACAATTTATTTTAGCCTAACCCAACTAAATATATTTTAGATTTGTTTACAGTAATTTAATACTAAACAAACACAGTGAAATATATTTTCTTCGTTAGGTTCAGAATGATTTTGGCTAAATTATTGCATACACAAATTTTCACTTGTCCTATATGGCAAGATGAGCGTTGCTATTTAAGCCAAGATCGCAAGTTCTGCCTATTCGGCACGACATATATATATATATATATATATATATATAATATATATATATATATATATATATATAATATATATATATATATATATATATATATATATATACATATATAGTATTTGGGGCTTTTGTAAAACAGTTTGAATCACTTGAATATTCATACTTTCCTAAGAGTAATTAAGTTTATGCAATATTTTTTTTTTTGTATTGTACCAAAACTAACAAAGCTATTTAAATTGGGATTTTTTCTTGGAGGACGCAATCTTCAAGTGTCTCGACTGAAATATATTAACAGTGTTTTAGCATATATATTTATATTCGTAACATTGTGTCACCGGTAAAGCAAAAGTGCTGGTGAGAATTTTTGTCCATGGCTGTTGTTGGTTCACAGGAAGAGTAGCGTTCTATTTATTTTTCGACAGTCACTATTATCCTTGGCAAACCCTCAAGGATTCGACCCCGTGGCAAGCCATGCTGCTGTGGCATACGTCTCTAAACAACCTGTATGCAAAACAACCACAGGGGGAGTTGAATGATAGATCTAGCCTTTCGTGTTGCAATCAGCACATCAGAAGCTTGAATGTTGCAAAAATGAGTAAGAGACGTCAACCGATTCGTTCAGAGGGACGCTGTCTCCTGTGCACCACCAGTCAATAATACTTTATTACCTGAAACTGGTATTAAAATAAACTCGTATTGTATATACACTAAGAGACATACACCTCTCGGTGTGTATAACCTGCCTGCCATCCAATATACTATACTTATATGTAAATAAGTGAACTAATATATATAATATATAAAATCATTGTAAAAATATATAATACATTTTTATATATACCTGAATATTTTTGTTCATATATAGTTGTCGTTTTTATTTAATTATAATTATTTACATTCTTCTTATTGTGAATTTCACATCCTTCGAGAGGAGTGATTTGATACTGGTGAAGTGCTTTTGATCCATGGTAGTGGAGCTACTCTCCCGTCCCTCGGATCAAATTTGATTATCTCTCCAGCATTCTTGCCGTTCCCGAGGTTCTAGGATCTGTGTGACTACTACGGAAGTACATGTTTCAAAGGGATGGTCGAAATTTCAAAGCGGTGTGTAATATTCTGTACATTTCTTGGAAGCACTATGTATATCAGTGCACTAAACCCCTATGGACCAAATAACGTCTGTGGAACAAAGTTTAGTTGGACTGGGTTACCTGTGGGTATGTTTCGTATCACTGGGTTAAGATAAGATTTTCTTCGGATTTTTAACCCCGGAGGGTTAGCCACCCAGGATAACCCAAGAAAGTTAGTGCGTCATCGAGGACTGTGTCTTATTTCCATTGTGGTCCTCAATCTTGTCCCCCAGGATGCGACTCACACCAGTCGGCTAACACCCATGTACCTATTTGCTGCTAGGTGAACATGACAACAGGTGTAAGGAAACACGTCGAAATGTTTCCACCCACCGGGAATCGAACCCGGGCCCTCAGTGTGTGAAGCTGGAGCTTTATCCATCGGGGCACATGTGGGTATGTTTCGTCTACACTGTGAGCAGCTATTTTGACTGATATTCTACAATCTTTCCCAATACTAGCGATATTCCTGAAATAATAGATTACATAGAACAGGATGATAATAAACTATGTACGATTGCGGTAACTAGTGACATGGTCCTCAGACAAATAGAGAAACTAAAACCTAACAAATCCCCAGGTCCTGATGAACTGTTTGCAAGGGTGTTAAAGGAATGTAAAGAGGAACTTAGCATATCTTTGGCTAATCTTTTTAACATATCACTACAAACTGGCATAGTGCCTGATAAGTGGAAAATGGCAAATGTAATACCTATTTACAAGGCAGGTGACAGGTCCTTGGCTTCGAACTATAGACCAATAAGCCTTACCTCCATAGTGGAAAAATTTATGGAATCAATAATTGCCGAAGCAATTCGTAGCCATCTTGACAGGCACAGACTGATTATTGATTCTCAACACGGTTTTACAAAGGGGCGTTCCTGTCTTAAGAATTTACTAACTTTTTTCACTATGGTGTTTGAGGAGGTAGATCATGGTATTGAATATGATATTGAGTATATGGACTTCAGTAAGGCTTTCGATAGAGTTCCACACCAGAGGCTATTGAGGAAACTTAGGGCACACGGAATAGGAGGAGAAATTTTTTCCTGGGTAGAGGCATGGCTGACAAATAGACAGCAGAGAGTTTGCATAAATGGGGAGAAATCAGAATGGGGGCACGTCACAAGCGGTGTTCCTCAGGGGTCAGTGTTGGGCCCGTTGTTGTTCACAATTTACATAAACGACATAGATGAGGGAATAAATAGCGACATAAGCAAATTTGCTGATGACACCAAAATAGGCCGTCCAATTCATTCTAATGAGGACATTAGAGCACTCCAGGATGATTTAATTAGACTGACGCAATGGTCGGAGAAGTGGCAGATGCAGTTTAATATTGACAAATGCAAAGTTCTAAATGTTGGACAGTTAAATAACCATGCCACATATAAACTAAATAATGTAGATCTTAATACTACCGATTGCGAAAAGGATTTAGGAGTTTCTGGTTAGTAGTAACCTAAAACCAAGACAACAGTGCATTAATGTTCGCAATAAAGCTAACAGAATTCTTGGCTTCATATCCAGAAGTATAAATAATAGAAGTCCTCAGGTTGTTCTTCAACTCTATATATCCTTGGTTAGGCCTCGTTTAGACTATGCTGCTCAATTCTGGTCATCGTATTACAGAATGGATATAAATGCTCTGGAAAACGTACAAAGGAGGATGGCAAAGATGAACCCATATATCAGAAATCTTCCCTATGAGGATAGACTGAAGGCCCTGAATCTGCACTCTCTCGAAAGGCGTAGAATTAGAGGGGATATGATCGAGGTGCATAAATGGAAAACAGGAATAAATAAAGGGGATGTAAATAGTTTGCTGAAAATTTCCAGCCAAGACAGGACTCGCAGCAATGGTTTCAAGTTGGAAAAATTCAGATTCAGGAAGGATATAGGAAAGCACTGGTTTGGTAATAGAGTTGTGGATGAGTGGAACAGGCTCCTGAGTACAGTTATTGAGGCTAAAACGTTGTGTAGTTTTAAAAATAGGTTAGATAAATACATGAGTTTGTGTGGGTGGGTGTGAGTTGGACCTGACTAGCTTTTGCTGCTGGGTCTGGTACAGTGCTCCATCCTTGAGTGGAGATGACCAGACTGGGTGGGTCATTGGGATAATCCGGGGGAAGGGAACAGGGACCTGCTCCGCATGGGTCAGTAGGCCTGTTGCAGTGTTCCTTCTTTCTTATATTCTTATGTTCTTAATACCTAGAACTCGCTACGTGGAGTTGGCTGCTCTTCCAGTTAGAAACGTGATAAACTGTAGAATAAAGACATTTACGCAATACTTAGAATACTTTATTAGCGGATATTTCACCCATTTTGGGCTTTATTAGTGCTGGCAGACTGAGTAAACATTCAGAGGGATCTTGACGTGTTAGTGCACTGGTAAATGAATTAGTAGTTTCATTGTTTACACATGCAAAGTAAATTCTCTTTGGGTATAACAATGTAAAACATAAATACATATGTATGGGAATCCCCAGAGATAAAATTAGATAAGAACCTTAGAAATAGTCATTAGCAATGACCAAAATTATTTTAAGCAACACCTAGCGGGGAGCAGCAAAACTAAGAGAATGCTAGTTTTCACAGCTATAAATCATGACTATAAAATATTAAGGAACAATAATACTCTCATCACTAAATATGCAGTCAAGTATTTCTCAGTATTACATGAAAGACAAAGAAAAACTAAAGAACAACACTTGTAATTTCATTAAGGAACAATCTATATGAAAGTCTCAAACCAATTCTTCTGATGGTTCTCTTAAGTAACGGAGACTACGAGATCTCGTTCAAAATTTCGAAATGCAGGATTAAACGAATTTGATATATTCACACGCGAAAAATTATTTAAAGTACAAAGTGATGCACTAATGTGCAATGCTCATGTGATAGTCAGTGGCAAGAATTATCACACAAATGTGGGTAAGTGTGTTTTAGAATTAGAGAACACTGGAATACTGGACCACTGGGACACTGGAACATTGGAACATTGGAAAAGGCTCCTCTCTGAAGTTGTCAACTTTAAAACAATTTAATCCTTAAAGAACAAGTCAGATAAGAGCATTGCAAATTTAGATTCGATTAAATACAACACGAGACAACCAAATACAATTAAATACATGACGAGACAATTCACTAGCTGAGTACAGGACGAGACAATGCGCAAGCTGTGGTTGACTGCTGCAACTAAAAGCCTGACTTCACTTCAGGAACTTGTCAGGGTGAAGGTTGAACCTTGAACATCCAGGACACACAAGGCAGCGTAAATAGTAGTGACAGTAGTTGAAGTCTTCGTCTTCAATCCACTTTCACTTCCCTATTAAATAACCATGCCAGTTCTTCAGTTTATATTTGCTATACTTTCGCCCATCAGTTTTCTAAGCCTGCAGTGTGGCCGGAAGGAGTGGAGAGCGGGAAAGAACCTTCTGATTTACTATACTACCTTCGCTTCAATTATCTAAAATCCGAAATAGAGGTGCTCGAAGAGTAGTTAATCCTCAGGAGAAGCTTGTTGTGCATCGTGTGGTCTTCTGTTGTCTGCCTTTCCCATGTACACCCATCATCGTCATCCAGAGACGATAACATCATATAACTATCTACTGCCTCGTATCTATTCCTGAATAAACACTTGGGTTCACCTCTTCACGTGAATAATGTTTTTACCCAGTCGTCGGCAATATAAATGAAAGGGGAATACTCGCACAGTCCCACCAAAAAGAGTCAACACTTCTCTCACTGCATAATTTCAGACGTGCGACGCTGGTGTCTGTAAAACTGACGTCAAAAGCTACAAAAAAGGCAAAGGAAATGTTAGAATGAAAAGTATTAGAGACAGCGAGGTGTACACCAGTAGCAACACCAGCAACACTACCAGTACTGCCACCAACAGCAATGATTCAGGAGAGAGCAAAGTACTCTGGAAAGATGAGAACAAGAGCAGCAAAGGTATCGTCTGCGCCTCCTCAAAGAAAGACTGTGATGCCTATTCTTCCTTCTTCGGATCTCTGTAAGTATTTCTATACCTTAACACTAGAGAGCCTGTGAGATTCCTTTTTTTATAAATCTATAATATTTATTGTCTATCGTTCAGATCACTTTTTCATAAAGATTTTGATTCTACCTCCCCCCCCCCCCTTTAAAAGAGTAATAACATTTAGAACACTTTTTTGCAAGAAGATTTATAATCTAAATCCTCTTGAAAAAAGTTATCACATTTATATTATAACAAGAAGATTTAGGTCCTAAATCCTCCTGAGAAAGTAATTACGCAGTACCAAACTAATAGCGTGTGTAAGAAAGGGAAATATTTTCCGGGTAAGTTGCTGCACTGTATTGATATGTGGTGATGCCACGGTTGTTTATTGTAATTATGGTTGGTGTCGTTGTAGGCTAAAAGTGTAGTCTCTGAAGATAACGAGTCTGATACGTAGTGGGAGTTATCACAGTAACTGATTGTAGATAATGCAGTAAATTGACAGTAGCAACAAGCAGAGGCTGGTTAAGGATAATAATAATAATATAACAATAATAATTATAATAATAATATGCAATTCCAAATGTAGTACCTCGGTAATAAAGTTAATTAGGGTTGATCCAGGGAAGCGGAGGATGGTTCCAGTTTCCGGGATCAAGAGCTGCTGGTGAAGTTTGAAAGACTATGATAACAACGAGGAGAAATCTCGATATTACAAAGTTGTAACATATCGATAATGAATGAACTCAGCTACTCGGGGGTTCGGGGGGGCGGGGGTATATCAACGCTGAGAAATCTGTTGGAAGATTTTTTTAATGAAGGTGTAAAGTGACCCCATGATCGTGCTGCATTGGCTTTTGTAAGAGTGTGAAGTGAGGGATGTTTGGTTGCTATAGCAAGTAGGAGGTTGGAGATGGTTTTTAAAAGTATTAGGTGCCTGACGAGAGTTGCATATAAAACCACTCTAAACACAAAAACCTGTTTTAATACAGTTTGTAAGATCGATTATTTGAGAGTAGATAATAGTTTTCATTTCTCACATTTTTTCAGGGATATGGAATTAATATTTTAGAGTCAGATCCCACTTCTATCAAGACAGCTAGGGCTCGACTGATGGTAAATGCAGTCTCCTCTTTCAAAACACAAGTAGTCTCTTTTACATATAAGGTTCGGCCATGTCCACAGCAGGAGTATATATAACGTTCACTGACGGGATTAATTTCCTCTTTTATAGCAAGTTAAGTCACATTCTCACTATATGAAGGATGAGAGACACTGCCAACAAGTTGGGAAGACTGACAATATTTGTTCAGTAGAGCTTGACGTTACGCTATACACAGTGTAACGTCAGGGTTCACCTACGCACCAACTATCGTTCTACCACTCATTCTAATTCCCTATATTTCGCAGATTTCGTGAGAATGTCGCCGGCAGATTATTCAACAACATCCTGACCACCTTCGGTGTATGCAGTACTGTCTGCCAGACTTCTGAGACGATCATTCAATAAGCAAAACTGGTATAATTTTGCTTTATTTATAGAGTAAATTAGAGAGCAGTATTTTATTGAATAGGAGAGATGAGAAACGCATATACAGTGTTTCGTAATATATAAAAAATGAGAAATATATGACTTCAGAGAGAGAAAGAATAAAAAATATTTAAGGGTCGAGCATATGTCCTATTGTTGCGTTAATATAATCTTAACAATGAAGATATTATAGGTGAATATTAAGGTTATTATATATATATATATATATATATATATATATATATATATAATATATATATATATTAGTGTGTGTTGTGTGTGTTGTTGTGTTTGTGTGTTATGATTGTGTGTGTGTGTGTGTGTGTGTGTGTGGTGTGTGTGTGTGTAGTTTTTTTTATTAGTTAATTGAATTTAGATCTTATCTACTTCTTCCGCCCATTACATGTGTATGTAACCTGTTCACCACCGGTCAAGAATACAGTGAGTCTTACAATATGGATTAAAGAAAACTCCCCGTGTACATACAGTGAGAGATACACACTTCTCTGCGTATATACAATGAGAGATACACACTTCCCTGCGTACATACAATGAGAGATACACAGTTCTCGGTGTACATGCAATGGGAGATGAATATCTCTCTGTGTATCTAACCTTGTTGTAATTAGGTTAGGTAAGGTTTGTCAGGAAACAGGACAAGTGTTTCCTGACGCGGGTCTTAGTCATATGATGACCCGCCACTGGAGCTTTTGGTCATCTGACCGAAGCCTTCCACTGGCCTACCCCTTCGCCCCTATAAAATTTAGTTTTTTTTTTTACTTTGTAGTAATGAAGTAATTAATATTAATAATTAAACTATATAACTATTTAAGCAGCTTTTTATTCATATGCACCTACCATAATGACAATATTTTAACAGTAACTGTAATGGTAACTCGTGGAAATACAGAAAACCTCATAGAAATGCAGGGAACCTCGTGGATATACAGGGAAGACAATGGAAATATATGGAGCCCCAGTGGAAATGCAGGGATCCCCAATGGAAGCATTGGAGCTCCAGTGGAAATACAGGGAGCACCAATGGGAATACAGGGAGTACCAATAGGAACACAGGGAGCACCAATGGGAATACAGGGAGTACCAATGGGAAAACGACTAGGTTGAGTTTTCCTATGTTAAAAATCCACATAATGTACTGTATTTGTGCGTCATTAATGTCTATATGCCATGATCACTTTTTGAAAAAAGTGTTATACATAAGAGTTACCTAAATAAAAACGTACTTGCCTACTTATTCAAAAATAATGGTCAGCTACTATCATATTAGCTGATCAATGAGATTTAAAGTTCGTCGACTACACAAAGGCCATTAAGACTGTAATCTGTTCACCACTGATCAATAATATGCACAGATATATATACCCCTCCAACTAAGATATATATACCCCTCCAAACATATGATATATATACACCTATCCAATATATATAAGATAATATATACCTCAAAATATAATATATATATACTTTCCAAATAATATAAATATATATATATCTAAACATATAAGATATAATATATATAGATATATTTCTATAGTATCTTATATATATATATATATATATAATTTAAAGATATAATTCTTTTAATTATATATATATATATATATATATAATATATATATATATATATATATATATATATATATATAATATACAAAGATTTACTTTATTCCCTATTTTACGTATTAAAGTAATCTTGACTGATAGGGAACGAGCTACATGTGACTTTTATGACACTCAAATAGTAGATAGGCTTGAAACTCCATTATTCAACCAACCTTTCACGAGTACGCGCACTGCTGCTCTCAGTATACCCGCATCAGGGGAGACATGCATAAGAAAATATACATGGTGTAATCATGTGAACAAATAATTCGTGACCTTGAGTTAAGTAGCAAGTCATGGTTATACTGTGGAAAGATATCTGTGTAGTGTTAGTGGTCACTAACAAGCTCAAACAAGCTGATTTTCGGTGGTTCTCTATTAACTGTTGAACATTCTCAGTGAAGTTCTCCAAGCTGTGGTCACCAGACTCTCGGTGAAGTAAGTTGATAAATTATATTTTCACCAAAACTCCAGAAACTTAAAAGTAAAACTTATGATAATATGAATATTTATCCCTCAATGTAATTGTGATAATGTTATGCAGACACAGAATTTTTAATTTTATATATATATACGAATACTATACTTTTTTGTTTTTACACGTTCATGGCCTGGGAAATTAGTTCATATTTGTTCTTCCACTATATGTCGAAGCGTTCAAAACATTTGACAGACTGGAACAAATGAACCTTATAATACCTGTTCAATAGTAATCACAATGGTTTTGTTTTGTCTAGGATGAGTGTACACACTGTGAACCCATAACCTGTATGACTCTGTATGTATTCTAATGATTATATCACTCTTGATGTGTATGCACTGAGGACAACAGTGCAAGTACACTTCGAGGGGTGTATATCTCAGTGAATATACACTTAAATTTTACTGTACTGTACAGAAGTATGCATTTGAGATTAAAGTATCTTTGACTGGTGGTGGACAGACTACGTACAGCTGTAGTGGCCCTTTGTGTAATCGATCGACTTTATTTAATCGATCGACTTCATTTGAGTAACCATGTATCTTGTATGCTTTCAAGACCAGTGTGAGAATAAATTACATGATGTGCATAACTAATAAATGTTCATGAACCAATCACCATCACAAAAACATTACAAAACACTACAAAATCTCGAAAGACACTTCACCATGTAGTGAACCTTTGTTTTGTAAGTGGCGTTTAAAACCTTGCCTGGTTAAGCCAGAAGATGGTCAACCACTGTTGTGGGTGACATCCACGGGAAGAGGATCAAAGAAACCCAATGGAAATAGACCACAATGAGTAGCTTTCTTGGTAAGTTATCCTAGGTTACTAACCTTCCGAGGTTATTATTATGATGGTGGGCAAAGTAACATTTATGAAGGGATTCAGGGAAATTAGTTAGCCGGACTTGAGTCCTGGAGGTGGAAAGTACAGTGCATTCGCTCTGGGGAAGTAGTGGAGATAAGTTGCAGTTTTTGAACTGTAGTGCTGGCACGCCTCTGGCAAGACAGTGATGGACTGAATGATGATGAAAGTGTTTCTTCTTTTTCGGGTCACCCTGTTTCAGTGGGAAACGAGGCCCTCAGGGACCTAAATAAAAAAAAAAAATGTGCACAGTAGGCAAGATATGCAACTGTCTTAGGCCTAGTAAACTCAGGCCTACACAGAGCCATCATAATTCTCTTTGTTAAATGATTTATATAAAGTTCACTCTATAAATTACTAAAAAACAACAGTAGAAATGAAGAATAAAAGTCACAATACCATTACTGGAACAATTCATAGATATCCACATTTTGAAAATGATACTCTAGACGACTTTTCGGTCCGTTCTGAAACGTCGTCTAATGTTTCCTCTCTAAATTGTGAATGTAAATGCACGTCAGGCCCTCTCCCCCCTCCCCCTCCCCTCTGAAGGGAGTGGAGACATCAAGAGATGGCTTCATTCTTCGTAAATAACGTTATCTGATAACTTGATAACTTGAAAAGATTATAAGTCACAATATCGTGGCTACAATAAGTAACAATCCCTTGCCTACAATATTTTATTACGACAAGCAACAATCCTTGCCTATAATCTTGTTACTACAAGTCACAATACCTTGGCTACAAGTGACAGTACCGTGGCTACAACAAATCACAATTCCTTGGCTGCAACAAGTAACAATCCCTTGGCTGCAACAACTAACAATCCCTTGGCTGCAACAAGTAACAATCCCTTGGCTGCAACAAGTAACAATCCCTTGGCTGCAACAAGTAACAATCCCTTGGCTGCAACAACTAACAATCCCTTGGTTGCAACAAATCATAATTCCTTGACTACAACTAACAATCCCTTGGTTGCAACAAATCATAATTCCTTGACTACAATAACAATCCCTTGGCTTGCAACAATAACATCCTTGCTCAACAAGTAACAATCCCTTGGTTGCAACAAATCATAATTCCTTGACTACAAGTAACAATCCCTTGGCTGCAACAAGTAACAATCCCTTGGCTGCAACAAATCACAATTCCTTGGCTGCAACAAGTAACAATCCCTTGGCTGCAACAAGTAACAATCCCTTGGCTGCAACAACTAACAATCCCTTGGTTGCAACAAATCATAATTCCTTGACTACAAGTAACAATCCCTTGGCTGCAACAAGTAACAATCCCTTGGCTGCAACAAGTAACAATCCCTTGGCTGCAACAACTAACAATCCCTTGGTTGCAACAAATCATAATTCCTTGACTACAAGTAACAATCCCTTGGCTGCAACAAGTAACAATCCCTTGGCTGCAACAAGTAACAATCCCTTGCTGCAACAACTACAATCCCTTGGTTGCAACAAATCATATAATTCCTTGACTACAAGTAACCAATCCCTTGGCTGCAACAAGTAACAATCCCATGGCTCAACAATACAATCCTTGCCTGCAACAAGTAACAATATCCTTGCTAGAACAATGACTAATCAGCTTGTTGAAACAAACTCACTATTTCTCTGTAATAAAGTAACATACTACGCTGCAACAGTAACATCTTGGCTGCAACAAGTAAAATCATTGGTTCAACAATACAATCCTGTGCAAAAATCATAATTCCTATGATTAGAAGTAACAATCGCCTTGGGCAAAAGTACATCCTTGGCTGAACACTGTAACAATATACTTGGTCAACAAGTTATCAAATCCCTTGCTGAATCTTATGACTTAACATATCCTTGGTTGCAAACAAATCAAATTTCATTGCTACAGAGTATAAAATTTGTGCAACTTGTAACATCCCTTGGGCAACAGTTGAAACCCATGGCTACAATATTCTTATGTACCGTACTGAAGTAGCATGGAAACTAGCTCTACGTAGGAACAAAGTGATCATTCCAGTCTTGTGTTGAACTACAGAACTTCAAGTAAACTTTCTTATGATTAATGGAATCATTACTGCAGGACATTCATTGGGAAACAAATCAGAGTTCAAACAAAAACTCCTTCAATATTCAAAATTAAATATTTGGACAGTGACGTTTAAAGCCAGCCATTTTGGAAAACGTCTTGACTTATCATCTTAAAAAAAGCATAACCATTTAAAACGCATGTAAATTTAACTATACCTTGTTAAATTATTTGGTTTTATAAATAAATTATAGCCAGATATAAGTTGTATTGCAATGTTTTGGTAGGTTTGAAAATTGGCTGGGCAATATTTTGTTAGTGGTATGGGTTTGAGGAGACCCTAGTATAGGTCAAAAGGCTTCATTCAGTGTTAATCCTTTCTTATATTCTTATGTACTTAAATGAATTAATGTCTGCATGAACAAGTCTTTACGATTGTTACGAGATCATAAACATGTAACTTGCTTAACTATCATAACATTGGGGCCCAGTCCCTGGACCCATTATGTGCCTCTGTATTCTTTTGACCCGCCCATGGGATGGGCATGGGCTTCAAAGTTATGAAACTGAAAGTGACACTCATTCACCATCCTCCATCTCTGAGATTACAAATGAATATCAAGACTGCCAAGTATGTAAGACACACATTGTCGCTAGGACATTTTATATGGGAAATCTATACGCCAGCAGCTGGCTCACGCAATCCAACTGAATTGTATTAATAAAGCCACTGGCTGGCGAAAACAATTACTGCGAATACGTATTTCTTATTTCGCGATGTGTTGCTCTCTCCTGCATCACTTATCTCAAGACACTGAAATCTGAATCTTCATTTTAAATTGTGGGTTAGTTGTCAACTTCTCCATCCAGGGTAGTGTGATATTTACTCTTCTTTGTTTCGCTTGTGTGTTGCATGTATTACTGATTAAATCTTTTTTCTAGATGCAGTGGTGGGTAGCAGTGCTGGTGTGTGCTGCAGTGTTGCAGACAGTGCTGGCTAGCAAAGTGCTCTTCATGGCACCCATCTGTTCTCGAAGCCACTTAAATTTTTTTATGGGCATCGTTAATGCCTTGGCTGACGATGATAACCAGGTCAGTCTTAGAGAGAGAGTGAGCAGATGTCATTATACTTACACTCGAGTCTATAACGTTGCAGTATATTATAGTTTATCTCGCCTCTGCCGTGATATGTTACATAAAATCATCTTCGCTAGTTTTCAAAAAATAAATATATTGACTAAAGTAATTTGAGAAAGACTTTGGGTATCAGAATAAAAATGTGTACAACTTCATGTCACTGATTCTCAAGTTTATTGTAAATAATATTTTTTGTTAGTTATGTCAAACACTAGTTACAAGAATATTATAGTATCGGAGGTAAACAATATCTAGAAATCTATAATTTTCAATGATCCACTGCAAGGAAACAGAAATAGAAGATTATGCCTTCCAAACCTTACACCTTTATAACTCACGAAATCAGATTGAAACGATTTCAAACAAATCATAGAACAGGTTTGGTTTGAACCTATGGGAAGTGAGTACTAAAACTCACAGGCCAGTCTGTTAACGCACTGGCCTGTGAGTTTTAAAATTCCCTTGCCATTGGTTTAAGCTCCAACCCGTTTCCTGATTTCTTGCAACATATACGTATTTCGTCTTTTTTTTGTGCGTGTACAGGTTACGGTGGTGTCTCCATATAAGTCATCGAAGGAACGGAATAATGTGCGCGAGGTGGTCCTGACGGGCGTGGATGTACTCGACAAGATGCCAAATCTGTTCACTGGAAATAAAATTTTTACCTTATCCTCAGTGTTTACTCATATGCCAAGTCTGTGTGCTGACGCTCTAGGAGCGAAGAATGTTCAGAATTTACTGAAGGAAGATTTTGATTTGATTATCCTCAGCGTGTTTATGTCCGACTGTTTTTTGGCAGTTGTACATCAGCTGAAGGTAAGCCACGTATCACATTTTATTTATTTATTATGGTCTACAATGTTTATTAAAATATGTAAATCCCGTTCCGTCATTTACATATTGTAATCAGAGGTCTTAAGTGCAGATGATATACACATACCAGTATACCAATTATACAGAATTGGATTATGTTATACAGCCTCAACAATTAAACAGTCTAAAATGTATAATAGAATATATATGAAAGTATATAGAATATTTTGTAAGAAAAGACTGGGATCGCCTTAGTGTTATATAACGTTCCTGATGCCCGAATGATGGGACCGAGGTCCGGAAAGTTCTCATCCAGAACAGCTCGTGAGATAATGTATATCTCCAAGACCAAGGATGAAGTTCTTACTGGAAAGTTCTCTTGATAAGACCACTGTACATTGAGACCCTCGTAATAAAGTTGTAGATCTGCTGAGTCAGATATCTTTCTCAGTTTCTTGCTTCCGTTAAACATTGAAGTTGTGTCAGGAGTAATGTCAATCAGAATTGAAGATTGAGACACTTATGCATCATATGGGAATCTTTATTGAGAAAACGCTTCGCCACACAGTGGCTTCAGTCCAATACAAAGCAGAAAGGTGTAAGGAGAGGAGTAGTTTGAGGTAATCAGTCCCTCAGCCTGGAGTCGATGTATTCAGTCCATCGATGGACTGATGGACTGAACACATCGAAACCAGACTGAGGGAATGATTACCTCAAACTACTCCTCTCCTTACACCTTTCTGCTTTGTATTGGACTAATGAAGCCACTGTGTGGCGAAGCGTTTCCTTAATAAAGATTCCCATATGATGCATAAGTGTCTCAATATTCAATTTGTCGGTTTTCTAGACCATTCATCTCAATCAGAATTCTAAGTACTGCTTTCGTTTATGACTTTATTCCCTGTACCGTTATGCCGACAATTTTCTTGAAACCAATATGCTCTAGTGTAGACAACTTTGCTTCAGTATTCTTCAAGAAGTCAAAATCGTTAGATTATCATCTTTCCTTAGGAATTAAATTTTGTTCTAAAACCTTTGGAGGAAGAACATCTTTTTTTTTTAACAAAGATTTCTAACATTTTGAAATCCTTTGGCCTTTGATAATATAATACAGAATTCGACATGAAGACTCCTTAGCATCTTCATTCTTGAGATTTTTAATTGTGACATTCTCTTGAATTTGTTATCTTTCTGGGGGGATGAAGGGATGTTTTTAAAAAGGGCCCAAAAGGGGGGCGAAAAAATTTTTGGGCCTTTCAAATTTGGCTTAATGGAAATGCAGCCACTGCGGTCATCCCCTTAAAAGGGTAAGATTTCATCATAGAGCAGCAAAACCAATGGGTCAGGGAAAATTATTCCAAGTATAAAAAACATTCATTTTTTCATTTGGTAAAAAAATTCGGATTTCATTTTTTATAATATTCCCAAATTCCCAAATTGAAGGCAGATGTACCTAAGACTAAAAGGGAAAAAGGACACAATGCAACTAATGTGACTTTTTATTGTACAACGTTTCGCTCTCCAGGAGCTTTTTTAAAGCCGTTACTAACAATACATTTCCGGAGAAGCGAAACTTTTCCCAAAAAAAAATGTCACAAAAGTTGCATTTGGCCCCTTTTTCCCCCTAACATATTGTCGGTAATTCACCAACATTATGCCAAAACTGTCTGACATTTCTTTTTTTAACAGAGTAATCACTTAACAGGTAATTTATAATGTATTTTTGGGTTTCCTCGTCTCACAAACGAGGGCCCGGGGTTTCAGTTTTCGACCGAGTGGAAAAAATTGGGGGTATTTCTTTACACCTGAGCCCCCCGTTCACGCAGAAACTAATGGGTATTTGGGGTGTTAGTCGAACCCCCGGGTGGACCACAAGGGGCCCTTCAGTAACGAAAACCCGTAAATGACCCAGGGGGGTTTAACCGGGGTGGCAAACCCTTTCCAATTAAAAAATCCCAAAAAAATTTTTATATAAAAGCAGTAATGTAAAAAAAATCAAAATGCTGTCTTAAAAAATTTTTTCCCAAAATGTTCTGAAGAAAGGGACAATTAATTTTTTGTGCATTACTTTTTCTGAACAATTAATGACCAAGTAAAATAAAAAAATAAAAATAAGGGGGGGAAATTTAAGGGGGGTTACCCCAAAATTTTAATTTTTTTTTTATTTTTTATTTTATTAAATTTAAAAATTAAAAATTAAAATTATAATTTATTTTATTTTAATTAAAAATTTTTTATTTTTTTTTTATTATTATTATTATTATTTATTATTATTTTTAATTTTTAACTTTTAATTTTTATTTTGAATTGTTTCATGTTATTTTTCCTTCTTCACCAGGTTCCCTTTATAAAACGTGAGTCCAGGGGGTTAAATGGGTCCACTTTTCATCAATGATAGGTAACCCAGGGTTTTTCCTTCCAATGATCCCCATCCATAGTTAGTTTACAAACATCCCCCTGACCTTCCCAACAGCGGCAATCACCCACTCGGGTCTGAAGCTGCTATGGACTTTTTGCTCAAATATGCTTATGGCAGAGGTATTTTTTTTTGGGTATTTTTTTTTTTTTTTTTTTGGCCCCGGGTATTCTCCCGCCCCGGGCCCTTTTTCCAAGTAGTGGTGACCCCCCTTTGGGGCTCCCTATCGGGGGTGCCCCTCGAGACTTAAGTCTCCCATGGGGGGAGGTAAAAGGGTACCCCCCTCATCTTGGGGCCCAAACCCTGCCCCCCGGCCTAGCCCCCTTTCCCCCGCCCTCACGGGGCTCGTAGGGAAAAGCTAGGCCTCTGGTCTGCCATCTGCCCCGCCCCAAAGGGCTCGTGGGATGGCAGTCTTATGAGCTGCAGATGGTAGCAAGCTCAGGCCTTCAAACCCCTTTATTATTGGTATTCTTTTATTTATTCTTTCTATTAAAACCTAAAAGCTTTTGTTTGCAATAAAAAGGGTATTATGGTAGTAATTGTGATACATTGAACATAATGTTGAAGTTTTCATGCCCAAGTCAGCTGTTTATTTTTATTGTTATTAATTAAAGCTTCCAGGAAATTCATCATTATTCAGTCAGGAAATCAGAGCCCCCACGGCCTGGTTTAAGGGCAGCAATGACCTTGTACGTTGCATTGCAGCTCATTCAACTTCATATAAGTTTGATCCCAGTAGCTAATTCTCTAACCCTCTACTAGTGGGCACCTTGCTTATGTGTCCTATTCGACGGGAATCCAGTGAGAAGGTCATCCTTTGACTTAATACCCATGACAGGAGAAATTTCCCAATATTTACTTACAAACAAAACACACGACCTCTCTCTGTCCCCCTCCTCTTCATTGTCCTCACACATGACAGAAATATTGCCTGTTAAACTTTTATCCTCGTGTCTACGTTTTGCCCACAGTAACAGAAACTATTGAGGTATTCTGATTATTTCCGCCAGCTGTGAAAAAAAAATAAAAAGTTGGGGAGCCGCTTTCCCTAGAAGGAGGGTTTCGCTCTGAGTAGCCCTTTAAACGAAAAAAAACCCAAACACATAACCAAATACAGTTTTTTAAAAAGCTTAATAACCCAAAAATGGGATATTAAAAACGTACAAAGAGCCAAAAAAACAACAAAATAAAACTATACATCCCAAAAATAAAATTATGTTTGTGTAACATCACAGAGCTTTTCACAACCAAAAATAACTTCATAAAAATTCTCACAAGCTAGACGTCCCCAAAGAAAAACTTGTTCGCAGCTTTTAAACTTTTCTTCACTATTTTCCACTAAAAGGGGTTTAAATAAGTAACTTTTCACTCACAAAACTGGAGGCTTAGTTTTCGCCACGTGGCCTCTGTCCTGAGATATTTCCCAGTCCCATCAAAATTTGCCTTTTTCCCAGTCTTCTACTGTTAAAAAGGTGGTTTTAGGGTTTTTTTTTTATTTTTTATTATTATTTTTTAAATTTTTATAATTTATTTTTTATTATTTTTTATTAATTTTTATTATTATTATTTATTCACCTGAGAGCTGGGCCAGACCCTCTCTGACTAGAGACGTTTAAAGTAAAACCCTTCAATATATTAATGTGTTGGGTTTTAACTTTCCCCTAATTTTTTTTTAAAGGGGGGGGGGCCGGGGGCCAAGGGAAAGGGCCCTTGGGCAAATGACTAAAAGCTCCAAAGGGGGGTCACACTGACAAGACCCGCGTCAGGAAACTCTTTTCCCCTTTTCCCGAAAAAACCTTACCCACCTTAAAACCCTTCAAAAACGAAAATAGAATAACTCTGTAAATTTTCAGTAAACCTTTTATTTCAAAGTTTTTTCGCGTATTTTGTGTTTCTGTGTACTTATAAAGTCCACCATAGACGAAAAGTGGGGGTAAATTTTTCACCACAAAACAAAGTCTTTTCCCCCACTAAATGGTCCCCTTTTTTTAAAAAATTTCCCAAAGGGTGTGGTTAAAAAAAGGGCACAACATTTAACACTTTATCAAGGACACATGCATCGAGAGAAAACATATCTCTCAGTATTTATACATTGAAAGGCGTATATCTTTTAAGTGTACTCACTGAGAGCATGTGTCTCTCAGTTTATGTACACTGCCCTGAAGTCACCTGTAGCAGCATCTGAGATACAGCAGTTTAAGGTTCTGACGAATTAAAAACTGCAGTTTCTTTTGTAGCAGTTTTCGAAGATCAGTCACACTACAGTAACCTGTGTCGGGACACGCAGATTTCATGTAGGGAATATTTGTAGTTCTTATTAGATGCTAAAATCCCAGTGCCTAGAGAACTCGGTTCACAAGTGAATTGATCTTGGTTCGATTCCCCCTGCTGGACAAGACGTACTGTGAGTCTCCTTACACATGCTGCCCCCTGTTCATCTTTCAGTAAATATGTACGTGGGTTTCAGTCGACTGTTCTAAGTCGTTGCCTAAAGGGATGGCAGTATACTTTGGATAGGATTGGACTCTGAAATAAGCTGAGGTAGGATGTGTGTATAACAGATAAAAGAAAATATGTGAGTTATGATAAAGATAAATCATGATTACATTGTGCCACATTTCTACAGTGTACAAACAATCGATTACCCAGCTCGTCCAGTTGTTCCTGCCGTGGTACATTGTGGAGGCATACATATCCGTCCAGCAAAACCTCTCCCACAAGTAAGTTACGTCATACACATTTCTAGTTCCTTGAAGTACACTATTAATATTATTATAATCATTGGGAAACTTACGAAGACAAAGACAAGTTGCAGGACAAACTTTCATTTGGACAATATTTTATTTTTAGTAGAACTTTAGTAAGCCTTGCAGAGTATGTACTTAATACATATATACGCCAGGAAAGTTAGATGGAAGCAGGTAAGTTGAGGTGACGTTTCTCACGAAAAGACACTACGTCAGAATGGAAACCTTTATAATAAAGTATTCGTGCGTGAGACAGCTAGGCATATGAAAAAGAAAGGGATAGGAAAAACAATGCATGGAATCTGAGTTCATTCATACACACCATTACCCAGAACTAGTGAGGTTTCCAGCTGGCGAGGCTTTTACTTATTGGCATGGGCTCGTACCTCACAACTTCTTGCCACCTGGTCTTCCCACCATACATTCAGCACTTATATTATTTACCTTGTACTATATAAACTTGAAAAAACTTAGTCTTTAAGTGAAACGGTTATCTCAAATATACGTTTCCATTTAGCAATATTGTCTTTTTTAACGTCGGTTTTACGTCCTCCACAGCGAGGTTTCACTTTGAAGTGTAAAAATCTTATGTCAGTTCAATGTGAGAAGTACAATGCAGCAGCTCATTTAGTTAACATTGGTTTTGTAATGTCACCTAATCACAGGCTAGTAACATTCATGTAATTGTTCCAGCCACGCTAGCATGTCTTTTAATTGTAACTGAGATAAAATCCCACTGTTTTTCAATTGTGTGTTGTGTACTAATGACATTCGTGTAGTCTATGAGTATGAAATCTGAGAAAGAAAATAGTCTGCTATACTAGAGCGATGCTACCTAGATTCTCACTTAAACAAATTACACACTATACTTCAAATAGCCTTTTGTATTTGTAGGACCTTGAAGACTGGGTGCAAGGTGCTGGTGATGCTGGCTTCATCTTCTTCAGTCTAGGCTCGGCTGTCCCACCATCCACTATGCCAGAGGAGTAAGTAAATTTTTGCTTCATCTTTCAGAGTTTACTTAAAGACAACGAGTAACTCGGCTCGCAACCAAAAGTTTCGAAGTTCGAACTGATAATGTGGAAAATTACATTTATCTGAATGTAACTAATTATGTACATAATAGTAAATGATAACAAAGATCATTATTATTTACCAATGTTACATAGACAAGTAGGAATTTGGGACACCTAGGTCACAAAAATGTACCCCTTCGATACCTACCACTGTCATAACCACAAGTTGCTCTGGACCTATTAATTAAATGAAATATACATACACCAGGAATACTGGTAAATATATAAATTTGTGGACCGTATATTAAAAATAATAAATGGTTATATATGTACACAATTACATAACAAAAGGAAAATATATCTTGGTATCACTCACCAATTTGACTGGAGATTAATGTGTATCATACTCAGAAAACCTCACTCTAACTAAATCTATGAAAATAATGCTGGCCAGAATTACACACAAATCTAGAGAGCTTATCTGAGGTTCCTGGAGCTGTCTTGTCCAGTCGTCTGATATCTCAAGTTATGCAGGAATGCACATCTATCAATTTCGCCTCCTATTTGAGAGGTGTCAACACAATTTTAACCTCTAGAGCACGAAAAATTCTTCCCATTACACCAACGTTTGTACAAAATTCAAAACCAAGATGGCGAGTCTCGTCTGCGCAGACGCAGGCTTTCCGTTTTCTATGACATAAACATTATTAAATACAGTATAGCCATCTATTTACATATAAATACTGAATTTCTGGAACATATATACATTATTTTCCACAGATAAGCTTCCTCACACCCCTGCAGGGCCTAGCTACCTAGTACTAGAAATATGTAACTGTGTATTAGTCGAGTACTGTAGGTCATATTCCAGGAAAAAAAGTGATAAATGTGTTAGAAATTATTATTATTATTACATTCAAAAACAAGAGTCAAGCCCATCTGTGTATGTGTTACATTCTCCATACTTTCAGAGAGTTGTAACTTGAGCACAACTCCAGCGTGTAAGAAAACATTATATATTGGAGATTCTCAAGTGCTGGGTAAAAGATATCCTGACATTTCCACATAATATAATTATAAGTCTTCATGATTTAATGAATTCAGACTTAAAAGAGAGTGACTACATTTTTATGCTCCTTCCACTTAAATGGCATTAATTATTTACTCAATAGTATTATTATGCTTCCCAAAAACCCATACTATAGTCGGTGGTAAAAAGATCACGGAGGGACATAATGGGTCTAGGACCTGGGCCCTAAAGTTCAGTGTCCTAAGTTAGTCAAAATCAGTCGACAGTCTACTTAAATGGATTCGTCACATACTTTACAACAACAAAAAATACATATGAATATACACAGTATACATCTAGATTATGCAGTCATGTGCAACCCATCCCACTGGTATCAGTCAAAATGTTTCACATTTACTGTTATTACAACTGATATATTCATGAGGAAGAATTAAATACAGAAGGGGTATAACGTGCTTGAGATTACTATTATTTTTATTATTATTACAGGTGGAAACTCTAGAACGTGTTTCCTTAAGGCACCTACTGTCCCTGTTCATCTAGCAGTAAAATAGGTACTTGGGTGTTAGCGACTGGTATGGGTCGCATTCTGGGGACTAAATTGACTAAATACGGCCGAAATGCTCTGAATAACAAGAGGCTTTCTATAGATGACTTTGATATCAGCTAGGCCTGCATACGTTGTACATGTACTTGTAGAAATAAAGATTATTAATAGAAGTTGTAGTAGTAGTAGTATATTAAAAATAAATACTGGACCAATGGATCTTACAGTGCTGCAGTGTGGTGACGGGTATTGATTAGTGAAGTTGGGGAGTAAGTGCAGGGACGAAATTACTACCAAAATTGTCACTGGTAGGCGGGATTCCCCAGAGGAAATAGGTCGTACCCAAGAGACAGATTAGCAGTACTGAAGAAGGTTATGTAGAGAATTACCGTTATATAATAAAGCCCGACACAGATGGAAAAACCTGCCCCAATTTAAACTTCTGTATCTTGTGTGTGTGTCTTCATACCTCAACTCTTGTCATGTGTATTTTTGTGGGATGAATCCGCAGAAAACATATCTGCTGTATAAAACCAATGATACAGTGTGTTAGCCTTACACACAGGTACCGCACTATTTTGGTTCAAGTGTTTGCTTCCCTCAAGCAGAGAGTCCTGTGGAAGTGGGATAAGGACACTATGGATGACCTGCCCCCAAATGTCCGTCTTGGCAAGTGGCTCCCACAACAAGATATTCTCGGTGAGGAAAATGATCCAGTATAGTCCTATGGCCTCCATATTATAGAATAAATATAAATTAATTAGAAAGCATTCAGGGAAGAATGACAAAATTATTACATAGCATTAGAAATCTTCCGTATGAAGAAAGATTGAAGAGGGGAGACATGATCGAAGTGTATCAGTGGAAGAAGGGTATTAATAAAGGGGATATAAATAATGTCTTGAGGATATATCTCCAAGAGAGAACCCGCAATAATGAATTCAAATTAGACAAGTTTAGATTTAGAAAAGATGTAGGAAAGTATTGGTTTGGAAATAGGGTAGTTGATGAGTGGAACAGTCTGCCCAGTAGGGTTATTGAAGCTAAAACTTTGGATAGTTTCAAATTTAGGTTGGATAAATACACGAGTGAGAGGGGTTGGGCTTGAGTGGGACTTGCACATGAGTAAATAGAATTATCAAAGTTTATTGCTTGGGTTGCATTGAAAATGGGTTGGGAAAATATTCTGTTAGTGGGATGGATTGTGAAGGACCTGCCTAGTATGGGCCAACAGGCCTGCTTTCTTATATTCTTAATTCCCTCGTCAAGGTCATTGATATATATTATAAACAACAAAGGGCCTAAAACTGATCCTTGTGGAACGCCACTTGTTAGAGATTGTATTAATGTTGGTAGAATTACCGACAATATGTTAGGTAAAAGGACACAAGTGCAACTACTGTTATATTTTTTTGTAGGAATGTTTCGCTCTCCATGAGCTTTATTAGCTTGATAAAACTCCTGGAGAGCGAAACGTTGCCACAATAATGTTTCACATTAGTTACACTTGTGTCCTTTTACTTGTCCTTTTACTTGTTTCGCCTACACAGTAGGCTTCTTCAGCCGAGTACATTCTTACCTCTACTAGTGGCCTACATCTCACCTCCTGGCGTTATATAAGGCTCCATCCTGTCACTTCAACTCCATATTGTTTCAGACTATGGAAAAATACTCTTCTCCAGACTGAGGGACTGACCACCTCAAAAAATCAAGGGTGATGGACTGATTACATAGTCTTCAAGTAACTTCTGCTTCTATCAACTTTTCTGTACTCGACTGAAGAAGGTGGTTAAGACACATAGGCAACACTTAAGCAACTTTATTCCGAAACGTTTCGCCTACACAGTAGGCTTCTTCAGTCGAGTACAGAAAGTAGGCAGGAGCAGTAGAGATGTGAAGACTATGTAATCAGTCCATCACCCCTAAAGTCGTAGATTTGAGGTTGTTAGTCCCTCAGCCTGGAGAAGTTCTGTTCCAGTTAGTTCCAGACTTTGGAACATGGGGAAGTGGAACAGAATTCTTCCTCCGTAAGCCATGCGTGTCGTAAGAGGCGACTGAAATGTCGAGAGCAAGGGGCTAGTAACCCCTTCTCCTGTATATATTACTAAATTTGAAAGGAGAAACTTTCGTTTTTCCTTTTGGGCCACCCCACCTCGGTGGGATACGGCTGGTACGTTGAAAGAAGAAAAGATATATATATATATATAAATATAATATATATATAATTATATAATATATATATATATATATAATATATTATATATATAATATATTATATATATATATATAATATATATATATATATATATATATATATTATATATATAATATATATATATATATATAAATATATATATATATAATATATATATATATTAATTATGTATGTATTTATGAGTATGATCTGAAGGAAGTATTATAGGGAAGGACGTAGTTGTTATATTCTTAAATAAATTCCACACCTGTGACATATCTGTGAAATAGTAACTTCGAAGGTCATCGTGTAAATGGGTTCCTCGCAAAAGCAAATGCAATGTTTGGGCCTTTCAAATCTCTCCCCTATGATTATAATAATAACCTAACTACACTTGTATTATTAAACAGGTGATCCTCGTTTACGTTTGTTCATCACACACGGTGGGTTGTTGAGCACCCTGGAGTCCATGTACCACGGTGTATCAGTGCTGGGCATCCCTGTGTTTGCTGACCAGCATACCAACATGATCAAGGTGCAGAGGGATGGCTGGGGCAAAGTGCTCTTCTGGGACCAACTTACCTTTGATAATCTCAAGAATACGATCGACATCGTCATGAATGACACAAGGTATTACTCCATTTTTTTTTTAAATAAAGGTATTGTAACCACAAGGTTTCAACTTTATCTTAAAGGTTAACTTTTTGTTTCAACTCATCGGCTTCTTCCCAAGGAGGGTAACTCAGAGAAGGTAAACATACTCACCATTATTCATTACCGAGTTGTCTTCCCAGCAGTGCAAGAAAATGGCAATTACAGTGACTCCAAAATTCAGGCCATCAATGAGAATGTGTCAGATGGATATGACATAAGGAAAGAGTTTAGATCCCTGTGAAGAATTACAAGTTAGGGATGGGACTGTGCGTGCAAAGAGGGCGATTCCTTCCTTCTGAGACCTTTGAGGATAAGACAGACTTCAGTGAAACGTTATCAACTTTTTTCTAAGTTTTTCCATCCACGATCCACCACAGCACAGTGTTTCTCAACTTTCAACTTCCATTCTCGGATAAGTTTTTTTGTTTCCTGGTACTCAAGCACTCATTTTAACTGTTAATTTAACTGAAGAGTGACCACCAGTTATTGCAAGCGACTCACTTGTTACTTAGACACAACTGGTTAACAGCTCATCTTATGCCAATATGAAACTTCTCCAGAATTTAAAGTTAACAGAATCATTTTCCGTGACTTTCTCAATATGCCCTCAGAATTATTAAAAAAAATTGTTAAACGACAGGTACAAACGTAATACTGATAATTACTCCTAACAGTAATGAAGTTGATAACACAAGGGATACTAATTTCTGGTAGAAGCATCCGGGTAATATGTTTATCAGTTGTGTGTGTTATGTTAAGCTACTGTTGCTAGGCTACAGGTTCTCCTGTCATCTACTTGAAATTACTTTATCTACTGTCTACTAGTAGAACGTAACCGACGATTCAGCAACCCCTGATATAAGGAGAACAGCTAATATTAATAGATGCGGATAAGATGCATTATGAAATTAAATAGATGACGTAACGTGTTAAAAATAAAGAAATGAGAATTTACAAGCGTGAGGTATTGGAAGTGAAGCTATATTATTATTATTATTATTATTATTATTATTATTATTATTATTATTATTATTATTATTATTATTATTACTATTAATGAGTCAAACAGCTAGTGGGAAATAGAATGTGATCAGGTTTTATTTAAGGAAAAGGATGGTATCTTCGGTTCCTTGGAACAAGAACCCTTCATTAGCATCAGGACACACTCCTCTTCAAGGGTTGGCCTACATACATCACATAATTTTTCTATAATTACATGCTCCCCTCAAGGAAGGTTCCTTGACGCTGGTGAGGGGCTCTTGATTTAGGGAACTGGAGCACAGATCCAGTTCCCTGAATTAAGCCTGAATACCTTCCATCCCCCTCCCCAACAGGCGCTGTATAATCCTACGGGACTAGCGCTTCCACCTTGATTATAATAATAATATCAACAACAATTACATGCTTAATGGACGCAATCAATAGCACAAATTACTTTCTTGGTGTGTGTGACGAGGCAGCATGAGAGCTGAGGTAGCAAGATGGTCCAAAATTATGAAAGATCGTCCACAAGAGCCAGCAGAGGTGGCCCTCTACTGGATCAAGTATGTTATACGACACCAGGGAGCATACCATCTCAGGTGTCCTGCTGCCACCATGACATGGTTAGTACAACTCTACTTTTACTTCTATATATCAGTTAATAGTAATACTATATAACTTTTTCTTTTTCATACCGCAGTTCCACTTTGTTTTACAAGTGTTGTTATAATTTCAGGTACGAGCTGTACAACGTGGACGTGTGGGCAACAGTAGTTGTTTTGCTCGTCATTATCAGCTACGTCTCAGTACGAATTATAATTTCCTTGTGTTCCTGGCTCTTCTCCAGATCTAAAGCCAAAACTGATTAAAATTGATATTGCCTTGTGTATGTTTCTTATCATTCCGTTTCTTGCACTGTAAGGTCCGAGTACTTCCCTGGGAAACCAGTGTTACACTATATATAAATGTGGTAATTTCTTTTGCCTATGATAAATTAATACAGACAGTCATTGCATGACCTGAGAGAGTTATCCCAGTGTCACATAACTTCAGCCTCCTGTGTCTCAATCCTTGCTGGATAGTAGCTCTGCCTCAAAAGCCTCAGTAGTAGTTGTAGCTGGTCTCTTAACAGATCCAGGAGCTGTAGTTCAATCCCTTCAAGGGAGGTTCCTTGACGTTGGTGAGGGGCTCTTGATCTAGGAAATTGGACCTGTGCTCCAATTCCCTGAATTGAACCTGAATACCTTTCATCTCCCCCCCCCACATGCGCTGTATAATCCTACGGGTATAGCGCTCCCCATGATTATAATAATTACAATGTAGTTCAATCTTCCCAAGTATTCCTAGACCTAAAAATCAGTTTCAAAAAGCCCAGGAGCCAGAGATGCAAACATTCCAGCAGTCTGCTGATTAACACCCTCAAAAGGAACAGGAGCTAGAGCTATGAAACAATGTAGCGAAAATTTATGAGCAATTTTTCTAGATTAAAAAAAATCCGAATTGCAGACGACTGATAGCCACATAGACTAGTTTTCAAACGGGGTTGATCCCTTTTATATCACGGAAACGAATAGAGTGAACACGCATAAGTACATAACGAAGGAACACTGCAGGAGACTTACTGGCGTATGCTAAACAGGGCTACCTCACAGCCACTCACACCCACTCATGTACTCGTTCAACCTATATTTAAAGCTACATTGTCTCAGTTAAATAATCTGGGAGTTTGCTCCATTCATCTTTACTAAATCTAAATTTCTCCAACTTGAATCCATTTCTTTATTTATATGTATATTTCAATCTTATCTCTATCAACTTTCCCACAATTGAAGTTAGGCTGACTGTACCATAATTTGAAGCTAGGGACCTCTATATCCCACTTTCCATATAGGTATCACATTTGTCATTTTTCACTTATCCGGTACAATACCTTGAAGAGACTAGCTAATGTTTTGTTAAGTTCTTTACAATTTTTAAAACCCTTGTTTAGCAGAACAAAATCCAGGAGGTTAGTTCCTCTGTCTGGTTCTAACATAAACTGCTTAAAAAAAGTATTTCCGGACCATTTCGAGAAAGTCGCTAGACTCTGCCTGTCTTCAATTGTTCCGGTTGATATAGCTAAAGTTAAACATTTCCCATTAAAACTACATTTTCATTTTTAGGATGCCTAAGCAATTTCATCCCAAAGAAGTTCACTATGGTCACAATAGAGGTTTGGAGATCTGTAGATAACACCTAAGATTAGCTTGTCATGTCCTTCAAGAGAGTACAACCAAACAGACACCCCCCTCTCCCTTCCATCTTTATATTGGTTCTGATACAACAATATAAATTTGTCCGTATCATACATACCAACTCTGCCTTATTTCCTTTTGATTCTGTCAATGTACAATAATTTACACCCGTGTATGTGACACTCAGCAGACATGTCCCTATTTTAGTTATTAAGATAATATCTTTGTTCACTTCTGTACTTCAGTATAAACACTTGATCTACACATCCCCTACTCATTATAAATTCCTTATTCATCTACGGTCTCGCTCTCCGTCTTACTCCTTGTACTACGACTATTTGAATAAAATAGACACTATGACCATTTTTCCTGTTTTTATCAGTAGTTAAATTATGAGACATCTGTTGTCTGAACGTTTGTCTAACATGTCTTGAATAATCCTTTATTTTTAATTTGTTGTAGGTTTTAAATAAAAAGTTGTTACCTCTTAAAGAGAATTGAGTAAAAAAAATATATGTAGGGTAGCTTTAAGGTGGCATTAAGCTAGCTTTAATTCTTCAGTTAGCTACAGAAATTACTTAGTGCTTCAAATAGGGTGGTAAGATATTTAAATTGTTTATATAAATGAAATTACGAACTAGTACATCTCCTTTAATTTGTAACTGCTTTTCACATAGCTAAGTTACTTACCTGTTTTAACTTTTAAGGTTTAAATAAGTTATTACAAGGAAACCAATGGAAATAAGTCACTGCCTTCTTTTGGGGTATCCTAGGTAATCTACACATATACTGCTATATATGATAATTTATGTAACTGTATTTATGTGTACCTGAATAAATTTACTTACTAATTGAAGCTTGTAACAGGAGATGGTGTGGGATTGTATAGTTGAAACACTAAATAAAGGTTCCAGTTAGCTTTTGTGTCCTTATCTTCAAATTGGATCTTACAAAGCCCAGTAAAAATCTATACGTTCCATTTAGTAGGCTGCACCAGTGCTGAAAGTATGAAGCCGATAGGTAGAGACATTCTCAAGCAACAGCACCAAACCAAATATCTCAAATTGTTAAATAAAATCAGCAAATTGGAACCTTCGAGTTAAACACTAATCTAAAATTTTTTTTAACTACAACACCTTTCAGGGTGACTTAGGAAAGTGAAAGGCTCTTGATTCAAACAACTGTAGCTCCCCTCCTTTTTCTTGGATCAAATGTGATTATCACCCATTCCCCTACGACTCTTGCTAACTTAGCGCTCCCCTCGTGAAATGAATCAAACGCGTGGGAGACACTGTTGTAGATGGCATAGAAACTAAGTTTTGGAGTAACAAGATTAAATGATGATTGGGGCAGTAACTGAATTGTGTATAGAAAAACGTTTGATAATCGGAAAGACATATTTTAAGAAAAAAAAAATAAGTACACAAGATACTACATAGTAAATAATTACTGCAGCTTGTTAGAAAATGCATTATTAAAAAAATGTAGCTGGGTAGCCATGTGGATGTGTATGTTTTTTACAGGGGTGATAGATATACCAGATCATTATTTAGTGGTAACTATAGTGAGGGTAAGAGGTAGATGGGCATAAGGTAAATAAAGAGATATTTATGGTAAAACATAGGCAACTATTACAAGATAGGTGAGGCTACAGATAATACAGGTTAAGGTTGCATATAGACTGTTCGCCACTAGTCAAGGATGCTTTATTCCCTTATATAGGAAATAAACTCTTGGTGTATATACAGTGTGTGATACTCACTTCTCAGTGTATATATTATGTGTGCATGGAGGGGTGTATATCTCCAGCTCTGAATTCTTTGATTAATATCAATACCACACATGGTTCTCAAACATTGCATCTCCACTTACATCTGACTCTTCCTCACTCCTACAAGATGTTATACCTCCCTGCCCAGTGCATGAAATCACTTCTTCCTTTCATGAACATTTAACAGTTGAAAATATTCCCTCCACCTTCCCATCCAACATCTCCCTGCTTTTGCTTTTAGCTACTGAATTTGTTTCCTAGACTTTCCCAACTTATTAATCTAACTCCAAAACGTTTTCTTATTCTCAAAAAACTTGTTGATAAAGCGTCTTCCACTTAAAGCGTCTTCCACTCTTTCATTGGATATAATTTTTCACTCCCTTATTATTTTAACCTCTTTTCCTCTCCGTATACTTCTCTGTATATCACTTCTACATTGTAAAAACTTGTCATATGTTAACTTTTTCTGCCTCGCTACCCTCTTTACCTCATCATTTCACCAACTCCTCTTGCCACTTGCATCCACTCTCCTATACCCACAAACCTCTACTGTACACTTGACACTGCGATCTGAAATCTACACCTTATCCTTTTGATTCTATCTTAATGACCCTCATGTGGTTCATACGCTCTAGATCCCATTTTCCAAACAGCCCTCCACGTATATGTACTATAACTCAGTGCACACACGTAAAGAGAGACATACTCATCAGAAAGAATAAAGTGTAAAGTGTATAAATAGCTCGTGACCTTGAGCTAGCAACTAGGCAGCTCGATTCAGTTACCAAGTCATGATTATATGACAAAATCTCTCCGCATTAAAGTGTAAACACAAGGCAGTGTGATCGCTGGCTCAGGCAGCTGATGTTGAGTGCTTCTCTCAAGCAATTGTTCAACATTCTTAGTGTGTTTTTTAACGCTGTTTTCATCAGACAGTCGATGAGGTAAGTTGATAATTCATATTTTGATCAAACGTCCAGAAGTTTAAAAGTATAAGTTGTGGTAACATGGAAGTTTTATCTTAAAAAATTAATAATTTTTTATACCTTCTTGGGAAAAAAATGTCATTAAATACTTAACAAATGCACTGGATATTTTTTTTTCATATTTGACAAAAAAAATAAAAAATACGCCCGTGCATTTTTCGGGGTTTCGAAAACTGCGTTTTTCCCTTTTCATGCGTTTTGATATGTTCATATGTACACACACACACACACAGAGGGGGCCCGGGAGTAGGACCGACCCCTGAAACCCCACAAATACTGAGTAAAACCACACACAAACACACCACACCACACACACACACACACACACCCCCCACCCAAACAACACACACAAACCACACACAACACACACACACACACAGGAAACTTGAAGTGTCCCTTTTTCGCAGATGAGTGAAGTTGATGAGAAAAATTTAAATCGGACAGGATGAGGCAGGACAGCAAAGAGCCGGGAGAGGCTGACATGTGTCCAGAAACGGCTTCTCAAAATTCAACCCACCCAAAATGCAAAGTCATAAAGATTGGGAGGGGCAAAAGAAGCCCGCAGACGAGTATAGGCTAGGTGGACAAAGAACAGCCCACTCGGGGAAAAGACCTTGGGTGACCATAACACCGAGACATCACCGGGGGCACACACCCCCCCAAAAAACCGTGCGCTAGGGGCCCCGGCAAACCTGGAATAGCTTTCCGTACCTTAAAAAGGGAAAACGTTAAAGACACTGTAAACAGGTATTTAGGCCCGTAGGGGAGTATGCAGCACCCTGGAACCCACACCTTTCAAGCACTCAAGAAGTTAGAGAAAGTACAAAGGTTTTCAAAAAGGGATCTCAGAGTCAAGGGAAGTGACGAGGAAAGGGTTTAAGGAAATCGGACTGAAACACTGGGGGACAGAAGGGTCAGGGGACATGATAAAGACAAAAAAATACTGCGGGGAATAGACAAGGGGGGCAGAGATAGGTGTTCCAGGGGGGAGGGGGCACAGGGACAAGGGCACAACTGGAAGCTGAAGATCAGACGAGTCACAGGGACTGGGGAATATTTCTTCAGTCATAGAGTTTCAGCAAGTGGAATAGCCCAGCAAGGAAGTGTGGAGGGAGGGAACCCTACATATTTTAAGAAGAGGTATGACAAAACTCAGGGGAAACAGAGAAGGAGGATCCATAGGACAGTGAAAAGGCGGGGCCAGGAGCTGAGTTTCGAACCCCCGCAAACCCCCAAATTTGGGGAGACAATTAGGTGGTAAAAACACACACACACCACACACACACATATAAATTTTTATATAATATATAATATATAATTATATAATATAATATTATTATTTTTTTTAAAAATATAATTTTAAAAATATAATATATTAATATATATATAATATATATATATAATTTAAATATATTTTTATTAATATATACATATTATATTAAAATATAATTTATTATAAAATATATATATATATTTTTTATTATAATATAATATATATATATATATAATATAAAAATATATATATATATATATATAATATATATATATATATATAATAATTATAAAGAAAATTCAAGGCCTGAGCTTCTCCATCTGCAGCTCTAAAAGGGTGCCATCCCAGAGCCCCTTCGAGGCGGGGGGAAAAGGGAGACCAAAGGCCCCGTTTTTTCCCCGAGCCCCGTGAGGGGGGGAATGTGGCTGGCCTGGGGACATTGGGCCAAAGATGAGGAGTACTTGTCCCTCCTCCCATGGGAGACTTAAGTCTCGAGACACTTCCCAGATAGGGAGCCAAGGCCGGGTCACCACTACTTGGAAAAGACCCGGGCCGGGAGAATACCGGCGAATAAAAAAAAATATATATATATATAAAGTGTGTGTGTGTGTGGAAGAACGACTAGTTTTCGAAACCCTGAACATGCACGGCGTATTAATTATTTTTTTTAGTCAAATATGAAATAAAAATATCCATTTGCATTTCTTAAGTATCAAGTGACATTTTTCTTAAGAAAAATGTCACTTGATATTTAACAATATTTAACAATATATTAAACAACCGTGGATGTTTAATATATTGTTAAATATATTAAACAACCGTGGTTGTTTAATATATTTATAGATGGGGTTGTAAGAGAAGTAAATGCGAGGGTCTTGGCAAGAGGCGTGGAGTTAAAAGATAAAGAATCACACACAAAGTGGGAGTTGTCACAGCTGCTCTTTGCTGATGACACTGTGCTCTTGGGAGATTCTGAAGAGAAGTTGCAGAGATTGGTGGATGAATTTGGTAGGGTGTGCAAAAGAAGAAAATTAAAGGTGAATACAGGAAAGAGTAAGGTTATGAGGATAACAAAAAGATTAGGTGATGAAGATTGGATATCAGATTGGAGGGAGAGAGTATGGAGGGGGTGAATGTATTCAGATATTTGGGAGTGGACGTGTCAGCGGATGGGTTAATGAAAGTTGAATCATAGAGTTGATGAGGGGAAAAGGGTGAGTGGTGCACTTAGGAGTCTGTGGAGACAAAGAACTTTGTCCTTGGAGGAAAAGAGGGAATGTATGAGAGTTGTTTTCCAACGTTTTTATATGAGTGTGAAACATAGGTGATGTTTTT